CACCCAGGCGCCCCTAGCCCTTCTCTTTTTTAAATCAAGTGTTTGCTTGTACAGGTTTCTCTCACATGTCTTTCTAGAACTGTACTCACGCACTTAGCCATTTTAATGTAGTCACTGCATTTGCTAAAGAAGCAAAAATAATTAAAGGTGATATGATGCCAAATACCTCTAATGCATTTTACTAAATAAAAAGAACTATTTTAAATCATTACTCAATTACCAAAATAGTATATCTTAGAGAAAATCAGGCTTGATTTATTGAATATTTTAAAGGTCTCTCCTATTAAGGGTGCCTGGCTGGCTCAGTCAGGAGAGCATATGACTCTTGATCTCAGGGTCATGAGTTCAAGCCCCACTTTGGGTGTAGAGATTACTTACATAAATAAAGGTCTCTCCTATTAAATAATTGCATTAACATTTATTTTGATTAATGTTAAAATTTATTTTATTACATATTATTACTATATATTATTGATATATTAATATATTTTATTATTAACTTAATATATTACATATTAATGAAAAATGTCATTCAGAATACATATACTATTGGATCCTTTTATCCTCAGTGCTTTTTATTGCCCTTTGTGACATCAACAATATTTCTATAATATTTAATAATAATTTCTTAGGGATTCAGTATATTAGCATATTAGGCATTGTCTGTAAACATCTTTTATTGTTTTCCATTGACTGGTTGGGAAACATACTTTTATAGTACAAAATAAAGAAGTTTTTTACTAGTATAGCATAGTGGCTCAGCAAGATAGTCTTTAGGACACTAAGTGGCTGGTGTTCAAATGCTGACTCTAAGACTTCACCAGGCACATGGCTGAAGTAGTTATTAATTTCCTTGTGCCTCAGTTATCTATTTCTAAAATGGGGATAAGATCACTCACTTACTGGCCTTGTTAAAGCACAGACGAAACATTCCAGAAATAACAGAGAGGGCCTTGGCAAACTCTTTCTTCTCCTGAGTAGATTTGTGTGTTTCTCAATTTTGATTATCCCAGAAAATGTTTTTGCCACAACATAATAGTTTTCCTCTTATTTTTTTTTCATTAACCCCTTGCAAACTATTATAGTGCTTATTCTAATTTCCCTCTTCACTAACGCCCAGTTCCACAGAGGTCCACAGATGGCTGCATTTTAATTTGATTGCTCTATTAACAATCCCTCCGGTCTTTTCTTAAATGTTAACCGCCAAGTACTTTACATTTTACTGCTGGTTTTCAATGAAAATGTAGCAACCTCGTTTCCTCTTTATCATATTATCTTTAAACTTGCTTAGTGTTTTAATTCTCAGATATACATTGTTTTTAATGTGTAAGTATAGCTCTCTGACATTTATTTGAATAATGAAGTCTGCCCATAACACCTTTTTCATGATAGCCATCTTACAGGTTTCCGTTCTGAAATTTTTTTTTTTCTCTTTA